GGTGCAGAAGCAGTTGGGTTCTCCCGTCCAGCAGAAGAGTTAGGAGCACCGATTCTGGTGCCAGACCCCTTGGGTTTGAATCCCAGCTCCATCACTACTTTCCCCACGCCCTAGTTTCCTCATCTCCAGAAGGAAAGTAACTATAGCATTTGCGGCATGGGGTTGTGGTGGGGAGTAAGCAAGACAGTGCACGAGAAGTACTCAGCACAATGCCTGGAGCACAGTGAGCACTCACGGAATGCCAGCTGTTATTATGCTATTACTATTATTAAACTGTGTTGCTATGCGAATGAGCCTAGTCTACCCCATGTATCATCCCAACTTGGTTTAGACTTGGCCTTTGCTCTGCTCACCTCACGAGGGGCACCCGATGTGGCATCGTTGGATACGTTTTAGGGTGCATTCCTTCTGAATGTCATGGGGAAGTGTATTTGAAAATTCCTGTCCCAAGTCTAGCACTCCTTTAGATGCTATCTTTTTCTCCACTGGCTGATTTTCTGTTGCATGCGAAAGCTGTAAGAAGAGAGAAATCCAAACCATCTGGCTTCCTTTCAGAGTTGTTTTCATTCTGCCCCTCGGTGAGAAACATTTGAGTTTAAAAAATTCAAGTGATACCACACCAGTGGGCTAATTTTATTTGTGATGACATGTATTATACTTACTAGGATTCATGCCTCCCAGAAATACCAGAAATGAAAATCTTAAAAAGTAATTTTTTTCATTTTATCTCTTCATTTTATTCCTATGGCACGTTGAAGTAGAATTTAAAGAATAAACATAATTTTTGCTACTGATAACAATATGAAAATTACATGCTTAGCATTAAAAAGGTAGTAACATCTCACATTAATTAAAAGAAATAAGCATCTCCTGGCTGCTAGGATGGGGTGTGGGACACCGGGGCCACAGGGGTGCGTCAGACCTAGATTTCACCCTGGCAAAGTTCACCACTGCCTGGGCATGACAACGATCATACCAGCTATTGTCAGGTTAAACAGTGTAAAACCGCCAATAGCCTGCCATTTCTGTCCTGCAAAACAGCAGTTTCTTTTCAACCTGGTGTCATGAGGAGTGCTACACGGGATTACATGATGTTACAGGAACGCATACTGGGGCTTCAGGGGTGACTTCCGAGGAGCGAGGTGTAAGGACAAGTACAAGCTGGCCAGGCAGGGGCCGGCGAGGGAGCGTGAGGGGAAGCGACCCAAGGCGGGCTGACAGAAGGAGCCTGGGTCTTCCTCATAGGACTCACCCAGAGTTCTGACTTCATCCGAAGGCGGTGGGAAGATGTTCGGAGGCTTAGGCAGGAAGGGGATAGGATCAAATGGCGTGTTTTCAGAAGGCCACTTTGCCTGCCACGAGAGTTGGGGTTAGTGCCACTAAAAATCTGTGCGTGGGCCAGAGCGAATGGGCCGAAGTCAGTTGGGAGGCTCCTGCCAGCCTCTGGGCAGGAAATGGTGGTTGGCAGTTTGCAGGACGCTTTCAAATGCGGTGTATCATTTCATCCTTATAACAGTTCTTACACGAGGTGTTACCGTCAGCTTCAGTTCAGTGGCCTGCCCATGGTCAGATGGGGCACGTAGCAATGAGAGCTGGGACTCTATTCGCTGACTCTTACCCTGTCATCTCCTGGAAGCATTAGGCCCATGTATCAGCACCCCTGGGTGTGAGCGATTGGTTTCTCTTGAGAAAGCATTTGTTTTTAAGAAACAGAATTCTCATTCCTTGGTGGTGGAGGGTGGGGATGAGAAAGTCAGTTCCAGCCTAGGTTTATGACTGCAAGTTGAGAAGCAAGCAGAATGTGACAAGGGACTTGATATTAAACTGGAGCATCTTTTTGGAAAAAGGTACACTTACTAAGTTCATGTATTTATTTATACTGGGCCTCATTCCAAAAATGGATTTGAAACAACTTTCAAAACTACATACGGCATGACAAGAAGAGAGGTAAAATGCCAGGATAGGCAAATTAAGGTGACGCTGCAGGTGTCTTAAGCCCAACGAACCTTTGCTAAAGAGGGACTCATCATCACCTCTGAGATCCACATGCCCCCCCACCCAAATAAAAACAAACAACGTGTTCTGCTCGGAAAAGCTTTTCCTTCTACTGGAACCTAGAAAAATGTCCCCGTGTGGTCTTCATAAAGACCCCGTGATATGGGTAGGCGTGCCTGTTTTACACAGTGAGTGAGGGGGGGAATTGGAGTGAATGAATTAACCCAGGGAATGCTTGGATGCCATTTCTTGTTCGTATACCATGTCATGTGACCTGTGGCAAGACTGTCCTCCGCGGTAAAATCAAAGATTTGGACTGGAGCTGCACTTCTCAGTGCGGGTGCCCTGGGGCGCCTCATGATGGGTTGGGAAGGGTGTGAAGCCATGGGACAAAAGTGGCACACAGGTTTTGCTTGAAGATTTTAACGACAAGACAACATTAAAATTTGTATGACGTGTTTGGAGTCATTCTGGAAACAAACAAGTGAACCTACGTGTTTCATTGTAGGAGGGTTTCTTCTGTCTTACGTAGCCATGAGACCCACATAGTAACCCTTCTTTCCTGCATAAAGATGTAACAACACAGAACTATATAAAACCTGTAATGTGATGTATATGTTAATAATCTGCTTTCAGTTGGTGGAGTTTACATGTCCATTACCATGATACCGGTTTTTAAAGGGGGAACTCTTGCCATTATGCAAAGAGAGAAAACACAGTTCTGTACAAATAACACATGCCGAGAATGGTACTTTATAAATATTTTCTCTGTTCCCCATATGGTTCTGTGAGGAATTACCTCCAGTTTATGCATGTGGAATCTGAGCCTCAGGAAAGTTGAATACATTTGTCTGGATTCACTTAGGTAGTAAATGCAGGAGTCTAAATTTTACTCTGTTGCCTCAACAGGTAGGATTAATTTTAGGACACAGCTTGTAGTTTGTGCATTTATTCTTACTTATCAAACACTGTGATGTTGATCACTGGTGTTTTCCAGGATACAGCCCTTAGGAACGACCATCATAGACTTCGGTGCAGATTATCTACTTTAAGCAGCAAAGAGTTTGACAGCTGTTACTCTGTGATTTACGTGAGGGTGTGGTGCCCCCACCCCCACCCAGTAAATCATTAATAAGGATTAAAATCAGCTCCTGCTTTGGTTTTATTGAGTGTATTCCCTTCAGGTCATTTAATGCTTTGCCAGTCACTGCAATATGAAGGTAGTCACAGCAGAGTAACGGGAGCTGTAACTGACGTTAGAGGCCATTTAATGAACAGGATCCAAACTGCTCTCTGTGGTCCTGGAGGTGTTGCCCCCCCCCCCCCCTCCCCCCACGGCCCCAGTGGATGACGGAGGGAGTCTGTGGTGAGCGGGAGGTGCCTTCCTGTATCATCCCCGCCCTCCGCTCAGCCTGCTCCTGTTGTATTATTGGTTTTCTTTCTGCCTCTGTGTACATTTTTGGTGGGAGAAAGGCTGCTACACCTAAAACAATGAAGCAACACAAAAGTGGAAGACCAGTTTGAAAACTGCTGGTTATCCAACTCCTTGTTTTCTTCAGTGGAATGGATTTTGGCCCAAAGCGGGGAAATGATTTGCCTAAGAACACAGAAAAATGCACCACAGGGCTAGAATTAAACCATCATGCTCTGTGTTTTAAGTATATACAATTATATTTGCTAATTATTTATTCCTCAATAAAACTGTGGGCAAAACATTTTAAAGAGTAACCTTGTAGCCTCTAGTCTGGTGCCGCAGCCGCCGTGCCGTGCCAAATGGCCCAATGAGGGCTCTCAGTAGTTGAGAATATTCTTCCGGCTGGGCAGATTATGTATCAGATGCAAAATAAAGGTAAAAGTTTTGAGCTTAGGGTATATTTAATGTCTCATCTGGCATACCCTTATTTTAAACTTAAGTCTCCTAAATTTGAATATATTCTGTATCATGACTTTAAAGGTCCTTTATCCGCAGATCTCAAATCTTATTTCTGTAGGACTCTCCATGCAAAGAACATTCTCAGCAGAGTCTTAATCAGACACTTTAGGGCAGAGGATCAAGTCACTTTCAGAGCAACTCTAATCAGTTGGAGTGGACGGTGGTTCTCACTTCGGTGGCGTCTGAGACCCTCCTTGGGCTCAGCAGAAGAGTGTGATGACCTGTTGGCGATGTGTAGCCTAGGCCCCCAAACAGGGAGGTGCAGGCCACGAGCTAGAATTTGCCATCCCTGTAAACGGAACTACCTCGTCTTTTAAGGGTCTACAACATAAAATCGGAGCTATATCTGTATTCCTTCCTAAACATCTTATTGTTTAACCTGAAGTCATGGGTGCTCTAAAGAAGGCAGAAGGAAAAATATAAGAAATGGAAGAAAATTGCCATTTTCTTTTTTTTCAGTATATTTTATTAATTATGCTATTACAGTTGTTCCAGTTTTTCTCTCCTTTATCCCTCCTACCCTCCCACCCTCCAATAGCCCCTCCCTTAGTTGTGTCCATGGGTCGTACTTATAAGTTCTTTGGCTTCTCTGTTTCCTACACTATTCTTCTCCTCCCCACCCCCCATCTATTTTGGACCTAACAATTATGCTTCTTATTCCCTGTACCTTCCCCCTCCCATTCTCCCCCCCGCCCCCCCCCCCACACTGAAAATCCTCCGTGTGATCTCCATTTCTCTGGTTCTGTTCCTGTTCTAGTTTGCTTAGTTTTTGTTTCCTTTTTTTAGGTTCGGTTGCTTATAGTTATGAGTTTCTTGTCATTTTATGGTTCATAGTTTTTGATCTTCTGTTTCTTAGATGAGTCCCTTTAACATTTCCCTGTTAACCATTCCCTGCCCCAGGACAGGGAGAAGAAATATGGTTGCATTTCTCAGTTTGTAGAGAATGCGATAGAGTAATGGTAGTCCTTTTGTTTGTTTGTTTGTTTTTTAAAGAAAATGCCCCCAAATTTGTAATGCATGTATGCAAATTATGTTGAAATAGAAAACATTTTTAGCTTTTTTTCTCCCATAGGATTTCGTCTCGAAGGGTACTCCAAAAGTTGAACTGAGAAATCCCAAGCAAGCTGCCTGAATTCTCCTGCATATTCTTGTTCCACACCCCAAAAAGGACCAGAAAAATCGAACTGGTGGTTTTGGGTGAGTACACCAGCAGTGTCCCTCTCTTCTACAAGGCCAATTGTAATTTTCATTCCTAACAACCAAGACACCTGCTGTCTAGACGAAGTGCACTTGGTGTGTCGTCATGTGGCAGTGTGAGCAGTTATACAAAATAAGTCATTTTGAACCCACGATATAAATTCTTATTTCTTTGTTTAGTCAACATGTTTATGGCTCAATAGGAAAAACTACTGCTTCTGTATGCTATGCATTTGTGAGCATCTTAGGACTTAAGAGATGAGGAATAATACGTATTACTTATAATTTATCTTTTACATACCCCCAAAAGAGGTCAAGGGTATTTCAATCAGCATTGTCTTTTGGAAGGGTTGCACACAAGGAAGGGTCTACCAGCTACAGAAGATATTCGAATGTTCTTGAACAATCCTCATGCCTTTTCTAATTTGTTCCTTCACCTGTCATATGAGGTAAAAGTAATTGTCATGTCAGACTCTCTAACTCATGGCAACCCAGTGAATTACAACATATGGAAATATAGTTTGATGGCTCTGTAATTCTTTACAGATAGAAGGCATTGTTATTCTGTGGGTGGTAACTTTAAGTACGCTATGGAAAGGACAGGAAGCATAAAAGAGAGAGGTAACTTGTACCACCTGCTCCAAGAACCTTGGACGGCCAGCCCTCCCCAGTCGCAGCCCTCACATAGATCAGACAGGTGGAGGCGGTCCACCCTTGCCTGGAAGAGAGGGGTCCTGGTGACACTGATGTGTCCAGCAACTCGCCTCCCACCCACTCCCCCAGGCCCTTCTTTTCATATCCTCTGGGCTGGGATCTGGACATAGTCCACTGAATTCAGGGACTTGGAGAGCCAATTTTTTTAATTATATATTTTTCCTGTTTATAAAAGCATTTTTATTAAAGGAAACCTGGAAATTAAAAAATATATATAAAATTATATATAATATCATATTGCAAAGAAACCACAATTAACATTATGGTATATTTATTCCTTTTTTGGTTTTTATATGTTTCATATATATTCTAAAATGTGATTTAACAAGGTTAACATAGTTGAGAACATGAAATTAATATTCTAGCCTAGATCTATGCCATAAGTTACTTAGCCATTTCCATACTGTTGAACATTATTTTTGTTACATATAAATATATACTACTATACTCACTATATTATATTATATTATTAATGCCACTGTAGTGAACATATTTGACTATAAGTTTTACTTGTGTCTCTCATTATTTTCTATTTATTATTATTATTTCTTTGAGAGAGAGCAAGAGAAAGAGACAAAGAGAAACATCAGTTTCTTGTTACACTTATTTATACTTTTATTGGTTGTTTCTTATCTGTGCCCTGACTGGGGATTGAACCTACAACCTTGGTGTATCAGGATGATGCTCTAACCAACTGAGCTACCCAGCCAGGGTCGTCTTATTTTCTTGGGGTAAATTCCACTAAACAGAATCATTGTGCTAATAAAAATGAACTAATTTTAATGAACAGTGTAAAGCTCTTTATATTGTCAAACTGTCTTCCAGAAATGTACCAAATTATACTTATCCTTCCATTATATATGATAATGTTTATTTCACTGCACTCATGTCATGATTAATTCTATCATGTTAAGAAGGTTTAAAATCATAAGTATTTCTACAGAAGCTCAGGAAATAAAAGCCTGTTTCCTCCCCCGACCCACCGAGGCCTGAACCCATATCAGGTCTCTAACGCAGAAGACAGTGTCATTTGATCGACATTGCATCAACATCACTCTCTTGGATCTGTTTATGGGATAAAGCATATATAAGGCTTGCATTCATTCACTAGGTATTTATTATCAGCACTTTTGTTCACTGCTGTACTGTGTGCTTCAGGAGAACAAAAGAACATTCTTTTCATTGTCTATGGGAAATTTAATTCAGTTGGGAGTCCAAACAATGAACTTAAAAATACTTAACCTTGGATAGGTCACTTAATCTTCTCAAGGCCTGTTTCTTCTTTAAAGTGAGAGGCTCAGTTTCTCTATATCTAAAAAGTATCTGAAGTTGTTTTTAGTAAAAAGATGTGAGTGCTGTCCCAGCTGGAGTGGCTCAGTCGGTTGGGTATTGTTCCTCAGAACTAAAGGTTGTCGGTTCACTTCCCGGTCAGGGCACAGGCCTGGGTTGGGGATTCAGTCCCCAGTCAGGGCACATACAGAAGGCAGTTGATCAGTGTTTCTCTCCCTCTCTTTCTCCAACCTTTCCTTTCACTCCAAAATCAAAATTAAATTAAAACAAAAAAGACCTGGCTGGCATAGCTCAGTGGATTGAGCGCGGTCTGCGAACCAAAGTGCCGCAGGTTCGATTCCCAGTCAGGGTACATGCCTGGGTTGCAGGCCATGACCCCCAGCAACCGCACATTGATGTTTCTCTCTCTCTCTCTTTCTCCCTCCCTTCCCTCTCTAAAAAATAAATAAATAAAATCTTTTTTAAAAATGTAGGAGGCTCATGGGCCCTACTTAACTGAAAATTTATAAATTAAAACAAAAAGACGTGAGTCCACATGGCAGTAAAAACAACAGTGAAGGTCATTATGTAGATATCAAACTCAGCCGTGAGCCACACAATGGGCTGTAGCACTTCTGTTATCCAGACGTGAGAGCACATTGGTTCCTTGAGGAGAAAATCATTTCCCTGCATTGGAGACCTAGAAAATTTTTTTAGTTAATCATTTTTTAAATGTAAAATCAAAGTAACAGGAAAATCCTTCAAGATAGTCTTTCAGTTTTTCTATAGTTGTAACATCTATAATTCATAAATAACTGAGAAACCACCAAAGGCCAAGGACCCCAAAAGCAAAGGAGTGGTCAGTGGCTTCACAGAAAGGTTTGTAGAGTCGTGAGTAGAATTTGAAAGATGGTAGATTCTACAGATGAGCTCCGTCTAATCGTTGTCCTCACGCTGGTGCCTGTTGCCCTCGCACCCCCCTGCCCTGGCCCACACACACACACACACACACACACACACACACACACACAGAAAGTCTACACTTGCACTGTTCATGGCCCTTTTTTTTAAAACTCAGATTTTCAAGCTTTGGAACACACCAAACAGTGTTAGGGGTTAATAAGTTCACGAGTATTTAGCTCTCCTTCACCGTCACCACCTCCACCTGCCGAGATGCTAAAATGGTGTGACTGCTCCACTGAGCTGTGCTGAGCACTGTCAGGGAGCTTGGGCCAAACTCCCGCGAGAAAGTCTGCCGCCCACCCCACCCCCCACCCCGCGGACTCCGCTCTCCGAGGTGGACTGTCCCTTGCATGTTAACATACAGCAGATACTTCATAAATATTATTTGGATTCCTCTCCACTCAGATGTTTTGCTGCTTTGTAATACCGGCTTGCTTTGTGCTTTAAAAAATATATATTTACATGTATGTTGGGACAAGTTCCAAAAATCTAAAAGCATGAAGGAATTGTAATAGTTCCCCAGAATGGCTCTAATCTTCATCTTGGAACAACACGGACAATTCACACACATAAAAAGTCTCATTTGCTAAATATTGGTCATTTGTTTCTCTTGGCAATTTGAATCACAAACATGAAGAAAAAGCTGTATAGCCTAGAACATCATTTTTCTGATCATTTTCCCATTTTCTCATAAAAATCTGCATTCCGTTTTATTCTGTTTATTTCGTATAACAACTCCTGGATTTCCATGACTTTATTTATTATGGTAAAAAATGTATAACAAAATGTTTAACCATTTTTAGGCATCTAGTTCGGAGGCATTACACACAGTCACATTGTTGTGTAAATACCACCATCCGTCTCCAGAACCTTTTCACCCTCTCAGACAGAAACCCCGGGCCCCTTAAACACTGACTCCCCATTCCTCCCTCCCCCCAGCTCTGGCAACCACCTTCCTACTCCCTGTCTCTATGAACTTACTGTTCCAGTTGTCTCATGTAAGTGGAATCATACAACATTTATCCTCTTAGGTCTCACTGTTTTCACGTAGCATAATGTCTTCATGGTTCATCCATGTTGTAGCATGTGTCCAAATTTTCTTCCCTTTTAAAGTGGAATACTGTTTTATTGTGTGTATGTGTGTATACACACACCACATTTTGTTTATACATGCATGTATTGATGGACATCTGGGTTATTTTCACCTTGGCTGTGTGGATAATAATGCTGTGGTCATGCATGTACAAATAACTGTTTGAATCCCTGCTTTCAGTTTTTTGGAATATATGCCAAAGTGGAATTGGTGGATCATGTGTCCATTCTGTGGTTAAGTTTTTTCAGAAACCACTGCACTGCTTTCCGCAGCAGCTGCCCCATTGTGCATTCCCTCAAGCAGTGCACAAGGATTCCAGTTGCATATCCTTGCCAGCACTTCTAATTTTCTTTCTTTCTTTCTTTCTTTCTTTCTTTCTTTCTTTCTTTCTTTCTTTCTTCCTTTCTTCCTTTCTTCCTTTCTTCCTTTCTTCCTTTCTTCCTTCCTTTCTTCCTTCCTTTCTTCCTTCCTTTCTTCCTTCCTTTCTTCCTTCCTTTCTTTCTTCCTTTCTTTCCTTTCTTTCCTTTCTTTCCTTTCCTCCCTTTCCTTCCTTCCTTCCTTCCTTCCTTCCTTCCTTCCTTCCTTCCTTCCTTCCTTCCTTCCTTCCTTCCTTCCTTCCCTCCCTCCCTCCCTCCCTCCCTCCCTCCCTCCCTCCCTCCCTCCTTCCTTCCTTCCTTCCTTCCTTCCTTCCTTCCTTCCTTCCTTCCTTCCTTCCTTTGTCATCCTAATGGGTTTGAAGTATTAGCATTATGGTTTTGATTTGTATTTCCCAAATGATTAGTGATGTTGAGCATCTTTTCATAAACTGGTTGGCTATTTGGGTATCATCTTTAGAGAAATGCCTGTTCAGCCTTTTGCTCATTTTTAAGTTGGTTGATTTGTTTTGGTATTGTTGCATTATAGGAGTTTCTTATATATTCTGGATATTAATTCCTTAATATTTTAGGGGATGAGTCTCTCC